TTTATAAAGAAATTAAATTTATTAAAAAAAAAACTATCTAATTCATAGACTAGTTAGATTTATTTATAGATAATTCTTTCTAGAAGATTTCTTTATAATATTAGTAAGCTCTTTTATTACTCTAGAGATTTATATTCTCTCTAGAGATTCCTATTTTTTCTATAGGTATTGTCGGATTAAGGTCTAGGACCAGATAGGTTAGAATATAGATGTTCCAATTCCGGATGGCTGACAGGGCCTAGCCCTTTTCATTTATACCTGGCCGCGGTATAGTTTAAAAAGGAATAGTTAACTGTCTTAACTGTTCTTAGTGTTAAAACCTACCTACTATACTTATTTTAGCTATAATATAGTTAAAGTATATTTAGATTAATCTCTATTTATTTTAGTTATTTATACCGCCATCTATAAATATATTAAAGTAAGTATTCTTGACCTTAAAAATTAACTAGATAAAAGAAAAAAATTATTTTTATTTTATCTTTATAGAATTAATCTAAGATCATCGCTTATGTTGGTAAGAATTAGTTTTTTAAATATAAATTAATCTTATAAAATAAAATATTAGTAAAGATATATATTTATAATTTTATTTTAATTATATATTTTTTATAGGATGTCTATATTGCAATAATAATAGACTAAAATTTATAAATCTTTTATAGAAATAATTTCCTATATTAATAATAGTTTATTTACTTTTTTTAAATATTTAAATTACTTTTTAAACATCTATTCTATATTAAAAATACTCTAATTTATTTATATTATAAGATTCCTGTGCTACTTAATTTATTTAAAAATTTATATTTTCTAAAAATTATAGAATATCAAAACTACTCTATATTATAATAGTATATAGAATATAAATAAGATTTATAAAAAACTTCTACAAGACTTTTCTATATTTTTAAAGGCTAAGTATATTTATTCTATCTTATAAATTCTAGTTATTTATTTTATAGAGGATATTCTACTTACTAAATATTTACTATAAAATCTTATCTATAGGTGAGATTTAGTGGGCGTTTTTAACTATATATAAAAATATAATAGATTAGATTTCTTTAAAAGTGTGTGACTGTGTCTTAAAAAAAATAATACTATTTTTATAAAATTTTCTTTTTATCTTTTTTCTCTCTATATTATTTACGTAAGTAGACTTAGTATTATAAATTAAATATAATTATCTAATTTATTTATAAAAAATATTATTAAATTTTCTTTCTTTATATTCTAGATCTTTATAAATTAAAATAATTTATAAATAGAGATTAGTTTCTTAATTTATATTTTTTCTTTTTTTTCAAATCTTGATTTTAAGTATATTATAAAGTATTATAAAATCATTTTATATCTAGTTTTTTAAAAAAAAATTCTTATCTTTTATAAATAGTAGTAAGTAATCTTTTTTCATTAAGTTTATATTTAAGTCTAGAAACCACTATTTTACTTTAATTAGAAAAAGATAGTAATAGTATAAACTAACTTTTAAAAAAATATATTATTTTTAGATAAAATTTTTTATATCTACTGTACTATATACTTATATATTTTATAATATTTAAAGATTAATAACTCGGGAACTAGTTTTATAAATTACTATTTTTATAAGAATTATAAGAAATAAATATTTTTAAATAAATAATTAGATAAATTCTAGCTAAAGAATTTTTACAAATAAATCTATATTTATTATATTCTTTATAGTATTTATCTTAAGATTTTATCTCTAGTTAGAATCCTAGAACTTGTAATAAATTTATTTTTATTAATATTAAAAAATATCTTTAGATTTTTATAGTTTATAATAAAAAAAAGTTCTTTAATTAAATTCTATATTTTCTTATTAACTATTATCTATTATTTTGAACTGTTAAGTATATTTAATTTAAATAAATAATTAATTTTACTATTTTAATATTTTTTAAAAGCCTAATATTCTTTATTATATATAGATTAAAGATTATTTTTTAGAGCTATTAGAAGAGATATATACTTATTTATTATTAAAATTTGTAGATATTAGGTAAATATTAATTATAGTTAATTATTAAACTAGTCTAGATTAAAAAATATTTCTTATTTTAATTAAATATTTTTTTATAAAAAAATAAATTATTATAAAATTTTATAGATTTCTGATTAATGTCTAGATCCTATACTAGTAAAAATCTAGTTAAGATTATCTTAGAAATCCTATAAAAATATAGATTTATTTATTAATTACTAGATATAACTACTAATAATATAAATAATAATAATATAATATTTAATATTATTATATTATAACTCCAGGCTTAGCTTAACCAGGATATCTACTTTTATAATATTTTAATAGACTTTAATTTTATAAAAATTATTTAAAATTAATATTATATTTTTTATCTTATTCATATCATTCTATCACGGTGCAACCTCCCAAGCTGGGAAGAGAGAAATACTGCCAAGACCCACTGCCCAGCACGTGACCCCAGACACAGTTAAAAGCTACCTGTTCTTTAAATCCTATTCATAGTTTTGAGCTACATCTTGTCTATTAATCTATATATAACTTGATTAGTAGCTAGCCTTATATCTAGTTAGAATTCTAGTTATTATTATTATTTAAATCTTACCTATCTACTAGAATTTATTATTTTATTATTCTTGTTTATCTGTATCTTAATATTACATAATTCTTTCTTTAGAATAATAAGCTTATAAAATAACTACCATCCCGTAATCTCTGATTAATTCTAGTAGATTTAATAAATTAATCTAATATATTTCTAAACACTCTAGAGAATGGTATAACTATTATAAATATATTTTTATCTTTACTATGGAGATTACTAGTAAGTAAAATTATTTATAATAAAATCTTAATATATAGAATATAGTAACCGCGTACTAGGCCTAGTAAACTATAAAGATTAATTACTAACTAGTTAGTATTCTAGCTATAAAAAAGATTATTATTAAAAAAAAAGATTAAATTTTAACTAAGTATATTAAAATTATATAAATTATTATACTAGTAATTAGTACTCCTGCTCTAACTCTAGAACTTATTATTAAAAAATTTATAATTATTCTAATAGGAGTGACTGCATTAATTAATCTTGAATTTTTTATTTTTATTTTTTTTTAAATAATTATCTAATTTTAATAAGTTTAAAAGTGATTACTTAGATTTAGACTATTTTACTTTTTAAATTAAAATAAAAATAAATATTAATTATAATTATTATATTACTATCTCTATTTATAAAGCTTATATAATTAGTTGATTGGGTAAGATTTTCTATACTTAAATCTAATTTTTATAGAAGATAGTAATTATATTTTAAATAATTTTATAAATATTCTAGATATACTTGAGTATATTTTTAAAGATTCTAACTATATTTATAATATCTGGTAGGAACTATACTACTTATAATAAAAAAACTATAAATTTACTATATATTTTATTAAATTTAAAAGACTTATCTATAAAGCTTACTTATATTTTAATTCTCTGATAACCACTTTGGAGGATAGTATTAATTAAAAATTTAATATTATATTTCTAAATAATATATTTTTAGAGAGAGATTATTACGATCTAGCCTAGTTCTTATAAAATCTAGATAATTATTAATTAAAATATAAATTTAATCTCTAGAACTATCCATGAAGACTAATTAATATTTAATATATTATACTTATAATTACTAAAAAAGCTCTATAGAAGCTTTTTATAAAAGTTTCTAATTAAAGACTAATTACTTTAGATTATAATCTTATAGATTTATTATCTATTTATTACTTTTCTCTATATTCTAAGATTATCTGGAAGGAAAGGGAAGAATATTTTTATAATTTTAATTAATATTTAATCTATGATTATTTTAAATCTAATATTTTAATCTAATAAATTAATTATATGTCTTGTCTATTTTCACTGAGATAAATCTAGTTTTTTCTTTATTATTAATTATTATTTATATAAACTGAGTCTTTAGTAAAGAAAATCTTAAATTTACTTAATTTAAAGTTTTCTATATTAGTCCTATAATTAAGAATAGTAATATTATTAAAATAACTATATTTTTCTAATTTTAGCGAGTAGTTAAAAAAACTGTACTTAATTTAAATTATTATTAAGAAAATATTATTTTATATATTTATATTTTCTCTGATATTACTGTTAAAGAGCTCTCTATTAAAAAAGAGCTCTAAAGGACTGATTTAATAATTATATTTATTATATTAAATCTAGATAACTAAAGAATTATTATATATATAATATTTAATACCAGCTGCTCAATATCGCGTATTATAAATAAAAACTAAATAAAGATTTATTATTTATTTTTATATTTTTTAAAATATCCTAAGTCCATTATAGAATTTAATAATTAAAAAAATAAAATTAAAATAATTATTTACTATATTTACATGATTCTAAAAATTTATAATTATATAAAAAAAATATTTTATTTTTAATTATCTAGCTAGTTTACTTTCTAATTATACTTAGTCTATTTTAGCTAAAAATTTATAATTTTTAAATAAATTTTATTAAATATATTATTTAATTTATTAGCCCATACTACTATTGGTATTATAATATATTTATTTATTTAATAAAAATTTATATTTTATATAATATTCTAGCACGCGCTTATTTAATATATATTATATTTTTTCTATTTTTAAAAGACTAGAATATATAACTAGTCTTTATTATAGCTTATATAATTTATATATACTGAAATTATCTAATATATATTATTACTGTGGATTAGATTAATACTATCTTATAATTTATTTTTAATATTAAAAATCCTATATTATCTGATGAATTTAAAGATTTTATAGATATTTTTTTGCTTAAAAAAGTAGAAAAGTTTCTTTTTTATTATAATTATAATTATATTATTACTCTGGAAAAGAAAAAAATCTTTCTATTTAATTTTCTATATAATATATTTTAAAATAAATTATAAATTCTCTATAAATAATTACTTAAGAACTTAAAAAAAAGTTTTATTTATTTAAGTTTATTACCTGCTACTTTACTAGTCTTATTCATTAAAAAACCTAGAGGAGAGTTTAGATTCTGTATAAATTATTATATTTTAAATATAATTTTTATTAAAGATTACTACTTGTTTTTACTCGTAAAAAAAATCCTGAATAATCTAAAAGAAATATATTATTTTACTAAAATTAATATTATTAATATCTTTAATAATATTTAAATTACTAAAAGATAGAAGTAGTTAATAATATTTTATATCTATCTTATTCTGTATAAATCGCTAATAATATTTTTTAAATTAATAAAAATTCTAATTATTTTTTAATACTATATTAATAATATATTCTAAAATTATTTAGATATTTTCTATATAGTGTATCTGGATAATATTCTAATCTATAATTATATTTAAATAAAGTATATAGAGTATATTTAACTAGTTCTTATAAAATTATATAAGATTAGATCTTTTATTAAAATATTAAAATATAAGTTTATTATTTCTAAGACTAAGTTTCTAGGTCTAATTATAGGCCGCGATAGATTCTATATAGATCTAGAAAAAATTAAGATTATTATTAAATAGTCTATTCCAGCCTGCATGATAAATATATAAGTTTTTTTAAAATTTAGTAATTTTTATTACTATTTTATTTATAATTTTTTTAAATTTACTACTTCTTTTATATAATTTATAAAAAAAAATATTTTTTTTATCTAGACTTCCGCATATTAAAATATTTTAAATTATTTAAAAAAAACTTTTATAGAAATTCTAGTATTTTAACTATTTAATTAGACCTGAGAAGTAATATTAAAAATTAATATTTTAAATTATATTTCCATTAGAGTTTTATTTTAGTATAATAAAAATAAATTATTATATTTTATAGTTTTTTTCTTTAAAAAGCACTCTCTAACTGAATGTAATTATAAAATCTATAATAAAAAATTACTTATAATTATTTATTATTTTAAATAATAATATCTTAAGTTTAAAGAAACTTTATTCTTGATTTAGGTTATTACTGACTACTATAACTTAAAATATTTTATATTAATTAAATTTCTGAATTATTGTTAAGTCTGATAGTCAGAATCTTTATTTTATTTTAATTTTAAAATTATATATTGATCTAGATATTATGAAATTAAGTCTAATAGTCTAATTAGAAGATTAGAAGATTTTTTTAAAAATAAAAATAAATGATTACTCTACTAAAGCTAAACTATATTAAAATAAAAAAATCTAGATTCTACTTGTTTATTTATCCAGACTAAAAAAAATTCTAAATTTAGAACTACTAAGAAAAATCTTAAATTTAGTAAATATAGAATATTTCTAGATCTTAAATAACTATCTATCTAGATTAAGAAGAATCTTAAATTTAGAGTTACTAAGGAAGATTCTAGATTTAATAAATATAAAATATTTTTAGATTTTAAATAATTACTTATATAAAAAAATTTAGGGAAGGCTTTTCCAGGAATATTCTAACTTTAATAATTTAATTTTAAAATAATATTATTTTTAAAGATAAATAAGACTTATTATTATTACTAGAAATCTAAAATATCTTGTGAGACGCGTATAAAAAAATAAATAAATATAAAATATATTAAAAATATTAATAATTAATAAAAATTATTATTTAGGTATCTCCCTAACTTCTTATAAAAAAAAGTCTACTATTCTATAAAAACTATCTCTAGATCTCTAATCATGATAAATTAAAAGTTAAATTAATTTAATTAATATATGATAAACTATTCTCGGGATATCCAGAGAGATTTTATAAATATAAATTTTTAATTTAAGAATATTATTAGTCTAACCTTTACCACTATATAAAATAATAAATAAAGAATTATTATATCTATTATTATGTTATCTTATTTTAAAAAATTAAATAAAATATTCTAAAATCTCTGCTGGTTCCTAAATGTATTTAGTAAGATATATTTATAGATTTTATCATATATTTATTTAAGAGTTAGGGGTATGATACTGTATTAATAATTATTAATAAATTTATTAAAATAAAATATTTAATATTTTATAATTCTATTGCTAATGCTACTAGAGTAATTATAATATATATATAATATATATAAAAATTATATAGTCTTTCCTATTCTATAGTCTCTAACTAAAGATTTTAGTTCATAACTAAATTCTAGAAATATTTAACCTAATATCTAAATATTACTAATTAATTATTAACTGCTTATTATCCCGAGACTAATAATTAGATAGAATAAGTAAATATTATATTAGAGTAATATTTCTATACTTATATAAATTATCTATAAGATGACTAGAGCACTTGATTTCTTCTAATTAAATTTATTTTAAATATTATATATTTTAATATTATTAAAATTATATTATTTTTCACTAACTACAGCTTCCACCTATGAATGGGATTTGAATCTGTATTTATTTTTAATTAACCTACTACTAAAAATATAAAATAATTTATTATAAAAATATATACTATTATAAAATTTATAAAAATTAAAATAGCTGTAATCTAAATTAAATATATAAAATAAATTAATAAAAAATACTACTCTAATTAAAAATTTTAAAAAAATTAAAAAATATAGCTAGATATCCAATTTATTAAAACTCTATAATTTAATAAGAAACTTAATTAAAATATTCTAAGTCTATATTTAATTAAAAAATTATTAATTTCTATATATATCACCTGAAACTCTTACTAAATATAAAAATTTATTTAATATTTAATATAAGTTTATTTATTTTTATTAATAATAATTATTACTAGAATAATATTAGCTTTCTTTCTCTCATATTAAGATTAACAAACTTAAAGAGTAGAAGATTAAAAATATATTAGACTTTTTTTAAGATTACTAGAAACGAGATCGCTCCTAATTAATATATTTTATTAAATAAATAAAATATATTAACCCCACTATTAAATCCGTGGAATATTTAGAAAATATTTACTAAATTATTAAAAACTTTTATTATTATTATTTATATAAATCTTAACCTTTACCTCACAGGAGCTCGGCTTAAAGAGAAGGAGAGTATTATTATAATATAATTTTCTAAACTGGGAAGAGAAGAATATTATTAAAATCTACTATTTAATATATAATCTTAGATATAGTTAAAAGTTATTTATTTTTTAAATCTTATTTATAGTTTTAAGCTACATCTTATCTATTAATCTATATATAGCTTAATTAGTAGCTAGTCCCGCATCTAATTAGAATCCTAGTCATTGTTACTATCTGAACCCTGCCTGCCCGCCAGAACCCACTATCCTACCACCCCTGCCTGCCCGCACCTTGACACATTCAGCTTTCTATAAATATTTTTTTTAAAATTTTATATTAAAGCTATAAATGATATTATTAATTATATATAAAAAAATAGTAATAGAAATCTAGAAGTCTCTTCTAGTATTTTTTAAATAATTAAAAAAATATATATTAAAGTAGTCTTCTATAAAAGGCTTCTATAAGATTTCTAGAAGATTTTTCTTTAGAAGATTTTTATAGAAAATTTTTATAAAATTTTATAAAAGTTTATTCTAATTTTTAAATATAAATTTAAAAAATTATATAATTTATAAATACTAATTTTTAATATTAAGAAAAGTTTTAGTTTACTTAATAATTAAATTTTATTTTAATATATTACTCTCTTCTTAACTGTAAAACTTAATAGAATTTAACCTATTTTATAATTTACTATATTATTAAATTATATTTAATTATTAAAAACTTTATCCAGTACTAGGATCATAATAATTGTCACGGTGCCTGCCTGCCTGCCTGAACCCGCGTGGTTGCCTGAATCCTGCCTGAATCCTGTTCCTGAATACCCTTATATAGCGTGCGCAGTGTAAAGCCATTGGCTTTACATCCTAGTCCTTTTGCTGATAGTGCAGCGGGAAGTACCTGGAATACGCACCCAGTATGCCCCGTGACAATAATATTAATTATTTTTATTTTATTTTAATTAAATAAAAATAATTAAAATATTTTTTTAAATTTTTATATTTATTTTTCCTTTTTACTTCTTATTTATTAAAGAATAGTGGATCTACTATTTATAAAGTTTATAATATTTATAATAGACTCTTTGATTATCTTAA